GGGACCAGAACATGTATGGCTTTGCAGGGCAAGGTTAGAGGCGTTTGGAGTTTATTCTAATTGCAAGGGGAAGCCATGGGAGGATTTTGTTTGTTTTATTGAAACATAATTGATTGTTCATATTTGCAGGGTATAGAGTTGACTATCAGTGCTTGTGTACAATATGTGGTGGTCAAACCAGGATAACTGATATATTCATCATTACAAAACGTAATGAATTAACCAATTCATTGGAGAGAGTTAAGCATGGGAATTATGTGATCTGATTTATGCTTTTTTTTTTTTTCCCTTTTTGTCTTTTTTACTGACCGGTAACGGGATCGCAACCCTCGTTGTTGTNGGGAGCACAGCAACGCTCCCGCCACGGGTTCGGATCCTATATAGGAATGGCCGGTGCGTGCGCTCACTGGCTGAGCGCGGTGTGGGTGTCACCACACTGAGGGTTGCGATCCCCTTACCAGTCACGAAAAAAGACAAAAAAAAAACCTTAGTTATTCATAGTAACAAGAGGGTTACTCTAAGTAAATGGAATTCTTAGCTAATAATTTAAATTTCTCCCAAATACCAGGTTCGATTCAATATCACCTACATGTATTGAGGACTTACATTCACAAAAGGCACTGTTCTAGGCAGTGAGGGTATAAAACGAGTTAAAGAAGTGAAATCCTTTAATATTTTATTGAATTGCTACTAAACAAGAACTAAAATTAAAATTTGCTTCTCCAATAAATGAAAAGCCCAGGGAGTCACTGAAATGAGCCACAAAGAAGCCAATGGTCTGGGCCAACTTGCTTGTATCATTAGCTCTACTGAGTCCATAGATTTTTTTTCTCTTAAAACCAAAGGACACACTAGAAAAGCCCTTGGAAGGAACTGTTTGGATCTGTGATGAGTAACAAGTGGTCCAGCTTCATGGCATAGCCTAGAAGCTATGTTCAACTGTAGCCTTTCAACTCTTCGTAGAAATCAAAGAGTATATTGAGAGCACATTTCTAGGGTCACCAGGATGTAGATGAGCTATTTCAGAATTCTAGTCCCCAGCCTGGATCATGGGCCAGCTCCTACCAGTCAGGGATGGCCACAAGAGGGAAGGATAAGAATTAAATTGCAAAGCACCCCCTCTCCCCAGTTGGGTGAGAGGGTGAGACCAGGCTCTGGCTTGCAGCAGGCTTGGTGCTTATCAGGTTTGGGGCCCCCTGCTCGAAGCAGCAGTCAGAGTACCCTCTTTTGGTTCAGCAAGCAGAGAGGAGTTTCTGCAACCACAGGGGAGAGAAGCTGAGTTTGGGCTTGTTCTCCAGCTGTGTCCAGAGCAGGGTGTTCATTAGGAGCTCGGTAAACATTGCACTGAGTGGAAATAAACCACTTCTAGCTCCTATGTGGCCTTGCTTCGGTCACTACACCTTTCTGACCCTCAGCTTCTTTATCTGTAAAGTGGGGAGATAAGATCTACCTCTTAGGCTGGTTTCACCTTTTTTGTTAGCCTTCTATGTAGTTAATCTCAGCCATAAGAAAATATAGTTTTTATCCATGAACTGAATGATGTTATTTTCATTTTGAATTTTAAAAAC